CGCAAATTGCACTCTCTTTGTTCCATGTCGATTTAATTCAATGTCAAAGTCAGCAAAGCTCTGACTATTTTCTTTACTTCATTTGAAGCTATAGTTGATTTTTGATACAAATGATACTGATTTTTGATACTGCAGTTTGAGACTACTCGCTTCGAACTCACTCGTAAGCGACCAGCTCTAGTTACAACTAGCCTTGTGAAATCTCATTTCAGTATCGTTTGAACTCCCGGGGGGGGGGGTACTTCCTTATGAGAAGCTTACGGGAATGTGCCGCTGGATGGGGTCGCATTTTCAATAGAGTTACTAGAATGGGGTCGCACATTTTCGGATTTTATGGGGTAAGACAGTTCTTCATATTTACGGTTAGCAAACGTACCGGAATGTTTGTACTGCAGATGAAAAGTAAAGTGTTATTCGATCAATCTAAAAATGAGTCAATTCATAAAAATAGAAAGTGGGTATCGCGAAAATTACACATCTGCCCAAAAAGGACTAAGATGGGGTCTACAATTGGCCACAGAATAGACTATACGTAGGGGCTCTGAGAGGCCAGCGGCACATACCCAGTAAAAATTAACTCAGGTACCTCCCCGGGTTTGAACTGTGAGTAAAACTCTGTAATAAATAGCTCTAGAAAGCGACCACTCCCGGAAGTGACAACAACTACTTCTGTCAGTTACCGGCTGGTCTTTTCCTTCCGTTTTACGTTCTCTTAAGCGGCCACCGCCTAAGACAACACTTGAATAAAAACATTTACCTGTTGATCAAATTTATTACTGACTTCGTCAGTGACGGTTATAAAAATTATTTTAAAAACGTTGTTGTTACAACGCCATTTGTAACTACCAACATATTAATGGCTTCCTGCTAAAAGCTCTCTTAAGCAAACCCCCTCAACAGGTTTTGGTAAGATTTATGAATTCCCAAAAACGTGTTCGGTTACGGAAGCTTTTACTATACTACATCTAAAAAAGTATCGCCATTTTAGTTTTCGGATCTACAAGAATATAGCCTCCTTACTCAGTTTTCCACTAGTTGTCTTTTGTACATGTATTTAGATACCATCCACCTGACCGCCGGGATCAGCGTCGGATTATCTACCATAACTATGACCTTAAAGTGTTTTTAAGATGATGTAAAAATCTATCGGAAAGTTAAGTGCGAAATAAGAAAGAAAAGCGCGAAAGGGGTAAGGAAAGGGACGTCTCCTTCCGTCCTTCACTCTCACAACTCCCCTCTCCCTTAGTTTCCCTCCCTCCCCTCCCCTTCGACGCCTGCAACGCAAGCTCATCTCTATGTATCCCATAGGTCACGAACCGATCTATAACATAAAATTACAAGTTAAAATGCAGGCAAAGCCCATTAATACAGACACTGAGGGGGGCATAGAAAGTGTCCGGGCTTATGAACAGGGTTGAATTAAGAGAAAACGTAAGGGATTTCTTTCACCAGGGACATACTAAACTGTCCGTATTAAGTGGGTGTCCGTAAAGCCAGGTTTGACTGTATTTGTAAGTTCAGTGTACTTTAACTGTGTTATGTCCACCTTACAGAATGTCAGCTACAAGAGGAAGCTCACACTCGCTTATCGTGTCATACAGCTCTCCTACAGTGATGTACCGCTGTCTAGCAATAAACGCAATAGCAGCTTCACACGGGTTCATTACTCGGTTATCAAGGAAACGAATCTCGTGTGGAGCCAAGCCTAGTTTTTCAGCAAGCTGCTTCCACTCCTGTCCTCCTACAAAAAGGAATAATACAATTTTCTTTAAAGGAATATGATAATTACCATATTAAAGACTAAATTCTTAAAAACCGCCTGCGTACGTGTAAATTCCAATTTTTCCCGCCAAGTTAATAGCGAAGTACACCGCTTCCAATCAACAAACTGACCCCAGTTTTTTTGTCTGTCTGCCCTCATATTAAAGATAAAATAACGTCATAACATTGTCAAAGTGCATTCTAGGTGTGAAAGGTGACAAATAAACTTTATTTACCCTCGGCTTTACATGAGCCTAGTTAGGCCTCTTAGTCAAGTCAATCTAAAATATTTTTAAAGAAAGCGTTTGTATCCGAAAGAAATAACTTTTAGATTCGCCTATTTTTGTTTTCAAATTTTGCGGGCGTCGCCATCTTGAATAATTGTGACGTGTTACGGTTGCCCTATTGTTATTAAACAAAACCTCTTTGTGTCAGAACAATAGAGCAACCGTAACACGTCACAATTATTCAAGATTGCGGCGCCCGCGAAATTTGAAAGTGAAAATAAGCGATTTTAAAATTCACTTTTCCTGATATAAACACTTTTTTTTAAGGACAAATTTCGAACAAATTTGTTTATCAACATAATTTTATTCGATTTAATCTTATTCTGTAGTAAGAGTGGAGGTTCCCTTTAAAGAATAATAATCACCGTTTACGTCACAAAAGATGCTTTCAAGGATTCACGCATTTTTAGTGAAGCGATTGTTATTTTTAGTTCTAGACTGAGTACACTGTTGATATTCCGATTTAACTAACAGGCCATTTCCGAGTTCCTAAAACTCTCTCTTTCGAAACGAGGCTAAGTGCAAAATCTTTCTTGTGATATAGAAATGAGTTTCGTTTGCATGAGAATAAAAAAAAAATCATTTTCATATCAATGGCTTCGCACTTAGCCTCGCTTTGAAAAAGAGGCTTCGAGATATAACCTTTAGATATAAGATAAAAATCATAACGATCTAAATAATATTATTACATTGACCTGAAACAGCATTTTTTAAACCTATGTCAAACACAATGATATCAATACTAAAAAATGTTTTTTAAAAACCTATGAAAAAATCTATGAATTTGTATTAAACTCGTTAATTTTTCTTCTAAAGGGGAATAACCAGAGGCGTAGCTACCTGTACGACAATACGCATGCGTGTGCGTACCCGGGAAAATGTCGAAATTAAAAAAAAAACAAAACGAAATATCGAGAAACAGAAAAACAATTAAAAGGTAAACAGAAGATGAAAAAGTGTTAGCGTAAAAATGGTGGCATTGGCCATCTTTCTCCGCTTTAACTTCTGCCAGATAATTCTTCAAAGGAAAATACAGTGTTTTCGCCGATTTTGCTCCACAAAAAAGACATAACTGCTACCTGAAGACTAGGAGAGATGATAACCCTCCATACTGACAAGGTTAATCACAGAAAGTCACTCGCATGGGAACAATCCGGGAGGTAGGGTAGGGTTGGTTTGGAAAACTGTGTGTACTTCTGGAAAAATCCTATCTACACCCCCTGATAACTAATCGATAATCCCGATTACTGGCAGTCTGTTCCATAAATTTATACTATGCGGTTTAAAAATGGAAATTTGAAACACCATTTTTTTTGCTAAACTTCTGTGATTTCAAACTGAAGTAAGAATGTAGGTCGAAATTCATTTGCACTTTAAGGCATTTGAGGAAACAACAGAAAATGTCGCAAATTGCACTCTCTTTGTTCCATGTCGATTTAATTCAATGTCAAAGTCAGCAAAGCTCTGACTATTTTCTTTACTTCATTTGAAGCTATAGTTGATTTTTGATACAAATGATACTGATTTTTGATACTGCAGTTTGAGACTACTCGCTTCGAACTCACTCGTAAGCGACCAGCTCTAGTTACAACTAGCCTTGTGAAATCTCATTTCAGTATCGTTTGAACTCCCGGGGGGGGGGGGTACTTCCTTATGAGAAGCTTACGGGAATGTGCCGCTGGATGGGGTCGCATTTTCAATAGAGTTACTAGAATGGGGTCGCACATTTTCGGATTTTATGGGGTAAGACAGTTCTTCATATTTACGGTTAGCAAACGTACCGGAATGTTTGTACTGCAGATGAAAAGTAAAGTGTTATTCGATCAATCTAAAAATGAGTCAATTCATAAAAATAGAAAGTGGGTATCGCGAAAATTACACATCTGCCCAAAAAGGACTAAGATGGGGTCTACAATTGGCCACAGAATAGACTATACGTAGGGGCTCTGAGAGGCCAGCGGCACATACCCAGTAAAAATTAACTCAGGTACCTCCCCGGGTTTGAACTGTGAGTAAAACTCTGTAATAAATAGCTCTAGAAAGCGACCACTCCCGGAAGTGACAACAACTACTTCTGTCAGTTACCGGCTGGTCTTTTCCTTCCGTTTTACGTTCTCTTAAGCGGCCACCGCCTAAGACAACACTTGAATAAAAACATTTACCTGTTGATCAAATTTATTACTGACTTCGTCAGTGACGGTTATAAAAATTATTTTAAAAACGTTGTTGTTACAACGCCATTTGTAACTACCAACATATTAATGGCTTCCTGCTAAAAGCTCTCTTAAGCAAACCCCCTCAACAGGTTTTGGTAAGATTTATGAATTCCCAAAAACGTGTTCGGTTACGGAAGCTTTTACTATACTACATCTAAAAAAGTATCGCCATTTTAGTTTTCGGATCTACAAGAATATAGCCTCCTTACTCAGTTTTCCACTAGTTGTCTTTTGTACATGTATTTAGATACCATCCACCTGACCGCCGGGATCAGCGTCGGATTATCTACCATAACTATGACCTTAAAGTGTTTTTAAGATGATGTAAAAATCTATCGGAAAGTTAAGTGCGAAATAAGAAAGAAAAGCGCGAAAGGGGTAAGGAAAGGGACGTCTCCTTCCGTCCTTCACTCTCACAACTCCCCTCTCCCTTAGTTTCCCTCCCTCCCCTCCCCTTCGACGCCTGCAACGCAAGCTCATCTCTATGTATCCCATAGGTCACGAACCGATCTATAACATAAAATTACAAGTTAAAATGCAGGCAAAGCCCATTAATACAGACACTGAGGGGGGCATAGAAAGTGTCCGGGCTTATGAACAGGGTTGAATTAAGAGAAAACGTAAGGGATTTCTTTCACCAGGGACATACTAAACTGTCCGTATTAAGTGGGTGTCCGTAAAGCCAGGTTTGACTGTATTTGTAAGTTCAGTGTACTTTAACTGTGTTATGTCCACCTTACAGAATGTCAGCTACAAGAGGAAGCTCACACTCGCTTATCGTGTCATACAGCTCTCCTACAGTGATGTACCGCTGTCTAGCAATAAACGCAATAGCAGCTTCACACGGGTTCATTACTCGGTTATCAAGGAAACGAATCTCGTGTGGAGCCAAGCCTAGTTTTTCAGCAAGCTGCTTCCACTCCTGTCCTCCTACAAAAAGGAATAATACAATTTTCTTTAAAGGAATATGATAATTACCATATTAAAGACTAAATTCTTAAAAACCGCCTGCGTACGTGTAAATTCCAATTTTTCCCGCCAAGTTAATAGCGAAGTACACCGCTTCCAATCAACAAACTGACCCCAGTTTTTTTTGTCTGTCTGCCCTCATATTAAAGATAAAATAACGTCATAACATTGTCAAAGTGCATTCTAGGTGTGAAAGGTGACAAATAAACTTTATTTACCCTCGGCTTTACATGAGCCTAGTTAGGCCTCTAGCATATAGTGCTAATAACCCGATACACTCTAAGGTGCAATTAAAAGATTCGAAAGATCACATACAATCTGATAGTGCATTCACTCACAGAGGTCAGTACAATTATAACGAAAGTTATTTCTCTGTGACCATTCTGAGCTGTCTTTTAATTCCAAAAATGAGAATTACTGATGAACCTGTCACAAGATAAATGACACTCACCGCTTAAATGAAGTGTAAGTCTCTCTATTTGAGAAGTAGGTATATTCATAACATCAAGACACTCGGGCAACAAAGGACCTACAGGAAAGAGAGCGAGGTCAAAAAGGGTAACAAATCAGTGCAGGGCTTAAAGAAATTAACAAAATGGATCTAAAAGAAAGAAGGAGCTGGATAGAGGAATTCACTTTAGAGACAAAAGCTGAGTGAAAAACAACTTTCGCACATTATTTAGGGACATTATTTTTGTTTTTTCTTGAAATTTTTGACCCGCCTTGTTTAGGAAACTGATTTTTTGAACACAACGCCAAGAAAAGAAACACAGTGAAGCTATTACTGATTTAAGCAACCTCTCTGAAATAAGTCTATACCGCCGATATTGCATACGCCTCAGTCAAAAATCCATCGACAGTAAAATGTTCGGACTGTGCTATTGTTCGTACGGAAATGTTTCGGAAAATGTTTCGTCCTTTTTTTAAAAAATCACCAATACTAAGCAATTCCAGAAACTCTATATTTCAAAATTTTCCGGAGAAGCATGCCTGGACTCTCCTAGATAACTCGCTGAACTCGCCCTAACCGCCAGCTTTCCCCACCAATCCAAAATATTATCTCCGCGTCCGTACTTACATTAACCCCGGCCCACGACAAACTCTATACCTGTAGTTCCAGCTGGTGTAATCTCTCTCAATTCTCTGAGCACGTCAGGCCTGTTGGACTGTTTTGCTTTATTTGCAAGGCAACGAATCAATCGTTTGGTCTCAGAGTCTGGATGCTCTAAGACAACTTCATCCAGTTTCAAACAGTCTTTCAGTTGAAGTACTACCTCTCTGGAGTCACACGGCTGGGACATGAGTGTTTCTATAGCCTTGCTTGGAAGTACAGGCAATTTTTCATCAATTCCTGCGAAAGGCAATGATGTTTTACAACTTCGAATTCATGTTCGACTTGTAGCATTCAGACAAAAAGCACAGGCGCTTTGTAGCGCTATCCCCGGCAGGGACAGATTGGTTTGTTTGGGATATTAGTCATTTCGAAGCCTACCAAGTTTCCAGTATAAAGATAACTACCAGGGAATGCTAGAAGTAGATTAAGATATCTCCAAGAGACGAATATTTTTGTCGGAATGGTTTTTAATTACACACAATAACTTAGTTCTCTCTTCTACATTATCCATCTACGCTATTAGTGTGACAGTCTTACCACCTCCAGAAGCGGAATGTCTTGGCTCACTTGCATCAGCTATAGCCTGTAACAAAGAAGGTTTACATGTGGTGTTGACGACTTTCTCTAAACATCACTTGTAAAGAAACACGTGCCAGTGATTTCCTGCGGTCTTAACCAACAGAGCATTGAGAAAACGCTAAATAAAACTGTATTAAGCGTACACCCACGGGACCATCGCTAGTATGGTAGATCGAGGTGTCCACTAAAACCAGGTTGGGTTTACAGGTAATAAGGAGAGAAAAGAGTAGGAATCAATCACGATCGTGTTCGCTTAAAATGGGGACCACTTAATACCGGTTTCACTCTTTCTAATAGGGTTGTTGTCATCGTTTTCGTGAGAACATACTGGGGTTTAACAAAACGAGAGGGTTTGATTGGAGTGTCTGGGATAACAAAAGACTGGCACTAAAGGAGTACATAAAAATAGTCGAGATTGGTAGTAAATGTTTTAAAGTAATTTACAGCAAAAGTTGGAGTCTTTCACCTGTTCATCTGAAGTTTCAAACCAAGGTGCAAACCGTTTGACGTGAACTTTGTTAATTTCTGCTGTAGGGCACCTCAGACACCTGATGAAGTCTTTGGCCTTGCGCAAATCAGACTCAGATATGAAGTGCAGACATTCCTCTTGCTCACACCACCACTGCTTGTGATGTTTGCAGCAGTAATTAGCTTTACTTTCTTGGCAACAAACAGGGCAGATCACACCTATTTTATATTTCATATTCTTAAACCAAAAGAATTCTTCTCGCATGCACTCAAGCATCAACACCAGTTGTCTTCGCACAGCACGAGCACAGGCCTCTTCAAATCCATCATAGTTGGGAACTGCAGACAGGTTCAGCTTGGATTGTAAACATNAGCGTACACCCACGGGACCATCGCTAGTATGGTAGATCGAAATGTCCACTAAAACCAGGTTGGGTTTACAGGTAATAAGGAGAGAAAAGAGTAGGAATCAATCACGATAGTGTTCGCTTAAAATGGGGACCACTTAATACCGGTTACACTCTTTCTAATAGGTTTGTTGCCATCGTTTTCGTGAGAACATACTGAGGTTTAAGAAAACGAGAGGGTTTGATTGGAGTGTCTGGGATAACAAAAGACTGGCACTAAAGGAGTAGATAAAAATAGTCGAGATTGGTAGTAAATGTTTTAAAGCAATTTACAGCAAAAGTTGGAGTCTTTCACCTGTTCATCAGAAGTTTCAAACCAAGGTGCAAACCGTTTGACGTGAACTTTGTTAATTTCCGCTGTAGGGCACCTCAGACACCTGATGAAGTCTTTGGCCTTGCGCAAATCAGACTCAGATATGAAGTGCAGACATTCCTCTTGCTCACACCACCACTGCTTGTGATGTTTGCAGCAGTAATTAGCTTTACTTTCTTGGCAACAAACAGGGCAGATCACACCTATTTTATATTTCATATTCTTAAACCAAAAGAATTCTTCTCGCATGCACTCAAGCATCAACACCAGTTGTCTTCGCACAGCACGAGCACAGGCCTCTTCAAATCCATCATAGTTGGGAACTGCAGACAGGTTCAGCTTGGATTGTAAACATGCTGTCAAGTTTGTACTGGCATTTCCTCTGTGAACCACAACTTCAATACACGATGAATGGCATCGAAGAATTACAGAGCAGTCGTCATCTGCAGAGGTGTAAAACCGCGCAAAATTAGCGTACAACTGAGGATTCTCTGCCCTCCAAACTCCGTCTTGGCCCCACTGAAAAAACTGCAACACAAGTCGGGGAAAAAAGCCTGGAGGAACCTGCCCAGATTCGAACCTAATATAAAAGGATGGAATTTGTGCAGAGGCTACCAACTTGATAATATCCTTTGGTGGATGAGACATTAGCATAGAGGGCACGAGATACTGCTTGCTACATGAAGCATCTGATGATGGCCAAGGACAAAGCAAGCTGAATTTCTCCATGATTTCTAGAAGGCTCGGAAACATTTCTTTTGGAATTGATAAAGGATCCCACACAAGTTCCAAAAGTTTATACTCCAAGATTCCCTCTGTCTGAAGCCTTCTCCACAATTCTCTTTCTTTTCCTTCATAGGGACCCGGCTTTACGGTTATCACCGAAGTAAACAATTCGACCAACCACTGAGGATCCAGGATCACCATATTATTCAAAAGTGGTGAACTGTCAAAATGAATCAAGATTCTCTGGTCATGTAGAAAGTTCAACAAGGTTGCAAATCCTTGATCATCCTCAATGTGACACAGTTTGGACGCAATCAGCCTTGTCTCCTCCAGGGAAATCCACTTTTTCCCCTCCCTTACTGCGGTTTGAAGAGCCTTTTCGAATCTTAGCCACTTTACCGGGTAGTCTTCTTTCATCTGTGGTAGCTCCTTAGCAACAGCACGGACTTTTTCCCACAAGCGCTTAACTTCTGAACACTCTGCTTTACTTCCTGACTTTGTGTTATCCACAACAAAAACGTCTTGATACAACTGGTTTTTGTAAGGCTTGGTCTCCAAGGAACCAAATACTTCACGCGCTAGCACAAATGGATCTACTCCACCACAGGGTTCATCAGCATGAGTGCAAACAAGGAACACAGGGGGAATATTCATTGGTGATTGATCCAAACGTATCTGCTGGTTTTCATCTTGATTGCCTATTGAAGCAACCCATGTCATCCAGAAATCCAGATAGTCTAGGTTACTTTTACAATCGTGGTTGTCTAAAATCATGCTGTACATTCCTTGCTTTACGGTGGGATCGGCTCTTGCATGAAGACCTCGGCTGAGGTCAAAAACTAACAGGTACACTGCTCTTTGTGTGAGAAAAAGCGGATGCGTTGCATAGTAGACAGGTTGTCCAGCAAAATCCCAAACAATTGAATACATTTCCGCATCGTCTCCAACTCTCTTTTCCTCAACTTCCTGTAGTAAGTTTTTTACCCTCTCTGCTACCTCATCTGGTATTTCGACTATACAGTTTTTTTTTTTCTTCTTGGCGAGCTGCAGAATCTGCACCAGATTCTTGACCAGATTCTATTGCATTTTTTGACGCCACACTCGATGATACAATTTTTGCCTCATTTGACGGCAAGTCATCCTTTGAATTCTGATTGTTTGTGTGATGAGTTAAAACTTCAACGACTAAACGAGCCATGTGGTGCTCAAAAGAGAGGGCTTCTCTGAAATCATTCTGTGCTTGATTGTTCACTGTATTCTCACCTTGCATGCAAATATCAGTTGAGACATTGAAATGTGAGGGTCCAACATCTATCCCCACTGTGCTGTCCTCGTCTGGGTTGAAGGGTTTTCCCAGCATCGAATTCTTAAGGCTGGTTTTTCCGGAGCGATCTTGTCCAATCACCATAATCGGCAACCTCTTGACACGAGCTTTTCCTTCATTAAGAGCCTTGTTATAGGCTTCCACAGCCAAGGGACCTCGTAAAGTAATCTCTTCAGGAACGACTGTGTACGCTAGAAACATAAAGTGAAATGATAGTTCAGATTTTTATATCTATTTGCCTATTTCCTTATTTTTGTTCGGTCAGTGTGACGAAACTATCACAGAGGAGATACGTACACCGTATACCCCTAGGAAAACAGTTGATAGAAATTAACACAGCATTGACAAAATTCAAAACTGACGCGCTGTTCTATTGGAAGAGGATGAAAAGGCCGAATTACAGAATGGCATAGAACGAACAGTGCTTCCTTTTTACAGATTTAGAGTGTTTTCAAAACAGTTCGCCCTCTAGTAAACTAAAGTCAAGTTGCAATTCGATGAGGATCCCAAGGGTCAAGTTCGGGAGACTTGGGTATCGACCCACTTTTTCCCCTCTTGCTTTGACTCTAAACGGCGGTTAAACGCTATGACAGAATTTTCTAAATTTAGGCTTTACCATGCATGCAAGCACTTCAGTTTGGAAAATTACTCCTTCTACTTTGCGTCTAAGTTCAACTTTTCTTTTTTTTTTTTACACTTGAGTCCGGCCGCTCATAAAAATTGACCCCACTAAGCTCTTTTAACCAGGTTACATTTGGAAGAATTCTTGATTGGGTCAGTAATTAAAAATTAACCCGGTTAACTTGCTAAGTATGGCCGCAGCCATGAGTAGATGCTGACTTGATATGTCATAAGACTACTTCTATTAAGGGAATTCTTTCTGACAATGGTTAGGGTGCCCCACCAGACTATGAACGGTGTTACGTTTTGTGTCACCTGATCATAGTATTGGGTTAAGACATTGCGCATGCTATAAAAAGGAGCTTCATCACATGGTTAAATGAATAGTCAAGGTCATATTTTTGTTTGTGCAAAATCCTTGCAGTGCTACTATACGAAAAACAATAGCCTGCGTAGCAGGCGCTTGGAAGTAGTGGGCGAAAGGGAGAACGGGCGCGCGCAAGGGAGACACGCGAGGGGTGAGGGAGCGCCAGTACGGAAGGCCCCCGAAAATCGTTTCAACTCGTATTCTGTGAGTGCAGATATTTCCAGTTGGCCGAGAGGCTCCCGAGAGAAACATTAACCACGCGGGGCGAGAAAACTGTCACTTAATAGTACATGGACAACGTAGCGAAGATCTTTATATTACACCACTAGCTCCTGAAACCACTAAATTGTATACAATCGAAGTTCAGGTCTCGGAGGTCACTTCAATCTAGTTTAATGGACTATGTGGCTGTAATCTCAAAGAAAAGTTGAAGTGTTCAATCGGTATCCACGATGGAAAGAATTGACATTAGATACGCATTAGCAGAAGTGGCGAGAGACAACAGATTTGTTGAATCGTTGCTATGAAGATCAGAGGAAATAATCTTTCCTCACGAGAACTTGGCGGCTTGTGTTGTCGATGGAACGTATACCATCAAAACTTGGACATGATTGATGAAATGAAACACTTACCCGGGGCATGAATTTGAAAAAAACATTTCACTATCGTATTATTCGCCGTTCGGAGGCGACCTGAGGTCTGTTGTTTATGTCTCGTTACTGCAGTAGAAAACGTGTTGGTACAGTTTGTGTTCTGAAGTTTAGGTCCGCTTAGTAAGACATGTCTGCTCCAAAAGCGGCTACCACTTAGCGCAGTAAAAGCAATGGTCATTTTCCACTTACGCTGTGATCGTTGGTGTCTGTGCAGTTGTGGCTAAGTAAGCTCAGAGAACAATATTTTTAGTTTTTTATAATACACAGCATGCTTTTATTAAAAGATACCTAGTTTTGACTTTGTTATTTCGTATTTATTGTGCCCGTGGTTAAAAACGATTTAAAGCTGTGTGTTAACCATCAGTTTATTGCGCCACCGCTCTATAATCAGATAACCCAGCTGATCTTTATAACAGATATATTTAGACCGAAATAAAAATGTACAACGCTTTCTGGCGGCACGCTTTGTTTGTGCGAGGTCAGTCGTTTTCTATCAAAACTTTTGACAGATCACGCAACGGCTGCCAGGTAATTAGGTTGGGGGAGGGAAACGCTTTTCGGGGTCCTTCCGGGCAGGCGCTCCCTCTCCCCTCACGTGTCTCCTTCTCGTGCACCCGTTTTTTCTTGTGCCCACTACTTCCAAGCGCCTGCTACGCAGGCTAGAAAAACAAACCCTCAACTACCAGCTTAATTTCTCTGAGTGATAAGGTTTGGAGTGAGCTTTAGGGGCATATTTTCTTGTTGGTTTTGTTTGGTGATAATTAACAATTATTCTTTGAAATCGAGGTGAATAGTGCCTAAATATTTACCGAACCGCGAAGCGGCGAGGTAAATATTCCTAAAGCCACTATTTACAGGAGTTATCCTGTACCTAAAATTTTTACTCCACTTTCAGAGTTAAATTAACTCCAAAAAGAGTAAAAACAACCCATGTAAGGAGTAAAAATAACCCCATTTCGGAGTTATTTTAACTCCAGACTGGGAGTAAAAAGAACTCTTTTTCAGGAGTAAAAATGACCCCAAATTCGGAGTTAAAGTAACCCCCAAAAAGGGGTTATCCTGTACCTAAAATTTTTACTCCATTTTTGGAGTTACAATAACTCCCTAAAAATTACGGTGTACTAATTTCAAATGGCATTAGCCAGTGTGGACATGACACAGTGCTGTAATTTTTGCTGCGCCAGCTTTTGCATTATCAGGCGCTGATCAACGTTATCGTAGTTCGGCATGAATAGGTCGCTCATGCAGCTCAAGTTTACAAGATACAGTAATTACAACACAAGATGTTACTCGATCTAAGCAATACATAGGAAATACAAAAAGTAAAACACAATTTTATTCCTAGATTAGCGTTAATCAGCCTTTCGGGAATTGGGCCCAGGAACCTAAATTTCACTCAAAACGCAATGTAACAACTGTTTGCATAAGATCACTTTTTACATTGTTTAAGTCATAACTGAGCTGGGTCACAAAAAAAAGAAAAAAAAGAGCCAGGAAATGGGTGACCTTGAATGCAGCATTATCCCGCTGTGACTGGAGGTGACTGGAGCCAAAGATAATCCCCCCAAAATGAAAGCCAGTGGCCTTTACAATGAAAATAAAACAGTAAATAAGAACTCAAAAAGGCAAATTTACTTCACTGCCTTGAAAAAACTGGGCTCTTAAACACTAGTAGACATGCGTCACTTTCAAACATGAAGGTTAGTATCTGCCTTTTTATACTGCATTTAAAAGTGATTTTTATAATTTAACTATAAAGGTGTAAGGTGAAAGTGGAGACTACAGCAAAACCGATATAGCAAGATTATAATAGCAAAACAACGATATCTACAAATGAGCTGAAAGCTAACAGCTAAATGATAATGAAAGGTACTTTTTGTTGTACAATTAAATCGAAATTAAATTTTTGAATTATAATTTTTACTGAAATTTGCTAGAATTACATAAGGCCAGGGGCAAAATTGTCATTCGTATCAGATATTTGTAATGCACGCTAGTAGAAGGCACAAGTGTTATAAAGGTCATATCTGCAATAACATTTGGACCCAAGCGTAATAAAAGTCCTATCTGTAAAAATATTTGGACCCAAGTGTAGTAAACGTCTCATCTGTTATGACCTGTGGTCCCAGCTGAGATAATATGAGACATGTCCACAAAATACATCACGGGTCACGTGACCAAACGGAACGAGAAAAAATGAACAGGAAAAAAATACCACAGAATCTAGCAATGGCTATCAGTTTAAGCTTTGGCAAATTTATAATTGGCTATGAAACGTGCTTTTAAGAAGATTCATCGCTCCAAGAGAAATAGATATGTCGTTCGCGTTCTCTTGTATAAAATGTCAGACTAAACAGTTTTCAACCCAGTGGAATCTGTTTTTATTTTTCCCCTCTGTCTCCCTGTCATTTTCAGTATTTCACTCACAGCTGAATTTTATTGATAGGATTTCATGACTGTCAGTACTTGTACTGAAAAGGAGTACCTTTAATTTAAAATTGTTCCTTAATATACATTAGTGAAATCTAATAAAGCATATAATGCCGCTCCTAAATACAAATTATATGGCTTAAAAAAATTTCCAGAATTTCCTTAAATCGATAATCGAACGAACAAAAATAACATAAGAATTTTAACATTACCAGATAACAACAAAAAACACTTTCGGGAGAGCGCAGTAAGTGCAAAATACAGTTCGACGGTACATGTAAATGGCAGCCCTGGGTTGCTTTCTGCAGGTCACGTGACATTACACTTTTTACCTCTTATTAGTCTCGCTTGCGTAAGTAGCGAGACTCATAATCTGCAATGGGTGTTTCGCCTCTGGGGGTAGTCCCCTATACAGGCTACATAGGTATGTGCCGCGCAAAAGGGTATGTTTTTTTTTAGCTGTTTTGTTCTAAAATAGGGTATCAAGTTCGACCATTTTGGTCTGAAATAGGGTATGGTTTGTGCACTCTAGTCT